CTCAGCAGCCAGTGCAACAAATTCTGGATCCTTTGCTTTTAGTTAGCATTAGCAGCACATCCAATGCATCCAATGTGAAAGGACTTTTATGCTGCGCACTGTGACTCACAGCAATGGTCCCGGGTCAGCCCTGACTTTGAGTTAAACTAATCCTAAAGTAATAATGGTATTTCTAACCACTGATATACCACAACTTTATCCTTTCAACAGCTGCTGAAAGTTAGGAGACCTAACTGCTATCGGATATTTATATAGAGATCCTCCAGCTTCAAACTGTATTACCCTTCAAGGACCTGCAGTTCAAAAAAGTGCCCCTCCGACAGCCAAACCCATCTGTTCTCTGATTGGATTGTTACATTGTTACAATCAGATGAAAGGAAGAAAAATAGGGTCAAAATTCGTACTTGTAACTTGCAGGGGTTTTTTTTGGCTAAGTCCACACACAAATCTTTTTTTACGCACACACAAATTCTTTTTACACATACAAATCCTGATTTACAAGTACAAAATATTTATGACCACATTTTGAGCCCATAGAAACTGTGCTAAAATGATATTTAAAAAATTGTGGTTTTGTCAACAAATATAACTCCAAATAAATGCTACTGTTGATTCGCAGCATCTGTGATCGTTTCCTGCTGCCTCCAATTACAAATTGAGGACTTAAATGAAGACTTTCTCAAGAATTCACTTGAGAATCAAAGAAGAACTATTCAAGTTGATGTGGTACGCTATAATAAAAGTAATCAACTTTAGAAAGAATTTGCATAATGGAATAATCCAACTTTGACACATTTGGGAGAACACAGTCTCAGTTCAATTAAATAGCACGTTTAATGCTTTCAGTGCAAATCATATCTATTCAGATCATATTTCAGAACTTATTTACAGTTTCCTTAAAGATCTGGATGCCATGCTTGATTTGTTTGTTGAAGCTTTAGAACAGCTCTTTGTTTTACTGCCAGTGCTGTTGGTGAGCCTTTTGTAGAGTTGCACTCATAACGTTCAGGGCAACGTTGCAGTGCTGTCTTTGTGCTGGATTATTCAACAGTGTTTATTTTCAGTTATTTGCAGAAAACAAACTTAAATTAGTTATTTAAACCACAGCAGATGCCAAGTCTTTGCATATTTATTCAACTTATTATCTGGTTTTATTTATATTTTCTGTGAGAGAGCCATTGTTGCTCCGAAAGCTTGACATTTTCCATTTTGTGAGTGCGATAAAGAAAAAGGAACAAAGCGAGATTGTTTCTCTATACGACTTTTCCGATTATGTCCCAGGCTACATGTACTGTGTAAAAATAAATCCTGGTAGTATTAAAAAAAACATCGTGCTGGGCATCACTACAAAGTACAAGAAGTTCTCGGGCTGTTGCTGCAGCACAGAAAAAATGTGCCTGGAGTCAGCATTGAAAATGAAGTTGCACAAACAAACATCAGGACCTGTGTTAGAATCACTACCATCCTTAGAATCTGCATTGTGTCGAATACTCCAAGCATGCTATTCAGCAGGCCCAAATGTAACCGTTCACCATGAACAAACCATCAACAGCCATCAGATCAGGAGCATCCTGTAGCACATCTGCATTCTCACTGTTACACATACAAATTTCTCTTCCAGGACTAGACTGTCATTTTCGAGCTTCACTCCTAACACCCTGAACTGTCTAAAGAGAACCCTTTGGAGCCAACTTCTTGACATGAACCAACATGGCAGCTCACAGCTTGTTTTACAAGCAAGTTTTTTGGCTTTTGGCTTCTGCTCGCCTGCCTTTCATGGCAGATTTAACTTCTGAATTTCAAGTTGAAGATCCTCATTTTGACAATGCAAGAAAATCCAGCTTACGTTGCAGGTGGTATTTATATAACAGGACTGCCACTGGGCATTCCAAACACTAGGAAGAGGTATGCCACTGGGTATAAGGTGACTTCTTCAAAGGGGGTCATGGCAAATTGCTGTTCGTAGGCACAAACAGCAGTGCCGTCTTCAGCGGTGATTCTCAATATTTGCGTTGGTAATTTTAATGTTAAAACTAGTAAAATTGTGAATATGTTTTGTTTCTCTTCAGACTGGAGTACGTGTCAGCTGAGTCCAAACGCTGTCTGTGGCGGCGGCATCAAAACCCGGATGCTTGACTGCGTTCGCAGCGATGGCAAATCGGTGGATATAAAATTCTGTGAAGAGGTGAGACTGGAAAATCCTTCAGGTGTTTGCTTTTGGACCTTCCCTTTTTGTTTCTTGGAAAAATCCAATTTTACTTTCTTTGTTTGACGCACTAATTTCTTTTCTTAATGACGTGATCACATAACGCATTAAAATATATTATCGCACCGTTCCAGTACTATTCAGCCCGAAGCAACATGAAATATTCAAGAATATTCCCATGCAGAGATTGTTGTCGTTGCTTCTGGCTGGGCGTTTTATTCATTCATAATGTGTCAACTCCATGTAATTGTAGCCGGCGGGCTGTGGCAGAGCCTTCCCCACAGCTATTTAACCCTTGGCCCACTTCATCATCTGGCTCATTCACAAAAACGCACTGTGTCGGGATGGTTTTCACAGCAGCCTTTATAATCCAATTCAGCTGGCCGGAAGCCTGCCCTTTGCCAGAACAGAGACTTCTGGGAGTTGCAGTACTGAGAGGTCAAGTCGGGGTCTGACCATGGCAGATTGAGTTTGCAGCGTAATGATTGGTTGTCTGTTATGTGAATGGTTTGATGATGTGTTGTTTGAAACATGTGCTGCAGATGAATTTGGAGAAGAAGTGGCAGATGAACATCTCCTGCGTGGTCGAGTGTCCTGTCAACTGTCAGCTGTCAGAGTGGTCGGCCTGGTCAGAGTGTTCGCAGACCTGCGGTCTAGAAGGTGAGAATTTCAGACACACGTTTTTGTCCCGAGCAGCTTCCAGTGCCATCAAAATCCAGGAGTATGAAATCGGTAACCTTTCACGAACAAGACAACTTTTCTAAGCATCATCATTAATTGCACATTAATCTTACTGATTTACTTCCATTGCTCTTTTCAAGTGCCTGAGATTACACTGGAATAAAGGCAAATGCCAACATAAACAAGTAAACGAGATAAATAAGTTCAGGCAAAATAATGAAGCACATATACGTTTAAGATGGTCTATAAATGTTTTAAGACGTGTTATAAAAGAGGATGCCAGATTGTAAAGTTGCACTTCAGTCTTCATGGCAAATGGCCAAACATAGGTTCTTGAATTTGCAACAGACGACTAAAGCTAAAACAGGTGAAACACGGGCTCCTGACGCACCCTTGTAATTCACCTGGTAGAGCAGGCGACCCAGGTACCATGTATCCCATTTGCTGTCTGTCACTCATCCTCTCTCCCCTCACTTTTCCGTCTGTGCTACACTGTCCTATCAAATAAAAAATAATGACCATTTCCAACCACCTCACATTCCTGTTGCTTTATCTATACTTACCATGTATCTGTTGAAACAAGATCCAACTGTGATAACAGAGCTATTATAGTTTTTACCTCCTTAGTCCGTCTTTACTGTAGCAAGAACTGCCAAACAAGCAGTTTTTAGTACTTTGGTAGGTTGACTGTACTATGTCTACCCATCCATCTGTGTGTCTGTCTGTGCAGGATGCAGTTTTATGTAAACTCTTGGCAGCTTTACCAAACTTTACAGGTGTGCATTTGAAATCAAAACGTGGGCCAAGTTTATTGGTAGGTGTAGTCTTAAAAACTCATTGTTCCCACAGCTGGTGTGACCACATATTGGAGTGTGGTCAATTGTGTGCATGTGTGTGGTGCATTTAAAACAAATTTAACTGTAGGAGAGGATTTTTTTTTCTTGCAAAGTTTGAGATATTCCTTATTTATCTCATACTAGGCCCTCACACATCATCTGAAACAAGCCGTTTAAGCTTCTCCTCCTCCATTTAGGGCTTTCTTATGATTTACTGGCTCCCACAAACAGAAGAGAAGAAGTGTTTATGAGATGACCATGGGAAGGAAATGTATGCTCACTGATGTACAGAGTCAGGAGGAATAAACTGTCTGAAACAGGGAATTACTTGTAGAAACACTGAGCTTTAAAACTGGCCATGTTTAATGTCCCCAAGTGTAACTATATGTAACCAGTGTGTGACAAAAATACTAGAGGATGCCAAACTGCAAAAGGAGGATAGGTAACCACAATGAAGACACATCTGCAGAAATGATGGAACAATGTTCTGGTTGTATTAAAATGTTGGGCTTTGTATCACAACCAACGACAATAATCAAAATGGCGTGCATGCACAGAGACCAAGAAAGTAAAATAAAGTCAGACCGGGGTCTTTTAAATGTCAGTGCTATCCAGTTCAGGCCTGCTGGCTTATAAGGGCAGTTTATTAGTGTGAAATTAGCCAAACAAAGGATGGATGTTTTGCACAGTCTGTCCTACCACCATTTAGGGAATTAGATTGAGCTCCATATGAGCTGTGGCTCGACACCCATTGCAATAAAAGATCAGCGTACTTCTGTGGATTTCCAGAAGGTCTGTGGACTCTCAGTTTGTTTAATTTGGGGGTTTTTTAATCTCCAACTAAAAAAGAAACCTGACCTAGGAGCAAGGAGGAGTTATTTCACATGCATGCTGATGTGGGACTAAGCAGCCTTACCAGTATAACCAAAATGGGACCAGTTAAAGGCGGGACACAAAATCCTATTGATTGAAAATTAAATTATCCATCCAGGTCAGAAACTAACGATAAATAAATAACAAAAACCACATTAGTACTAATTCCAACAAAAGGTTTCTTCTTCTGTTTGTTACTGTGGGCTACATACATGTTATGTACACATGCTGCTCCCACTGCAGCAGGAAATGTAGCTAGCTAGAAAAACTCCCACAAAGAAAGCAGAGGGAGTCTTTATTTAAGTCAAAGTTACTGCGTTATAGTCTAACAGGGGATTTCTAAGAATCACCCCGCAGTTCTTCAGCTTGAGACACCTGAGTTAGAAAACACAAACACTGCAGTCGTCTTTCACTCGCGAGGGCAGTCATGGACGCACGACCTGCGTCTCATCACTGTCTGCGTGCTTTATTTATACTTATCTGTGTGTGTTTGTGTGTGTGTGTGTGTGTGTACAAAGGTAACAACGTTATTCTAAGAACTCAGAGCTGAGGTTCCCCTTTTCTAAGTCTGCATGTTCTTAGAAAAGAGAAAGCTGTTAGTTGTTTATCACACAAGAGTTCATGTCAAAAGTCACGTAGACATTTGGTTGCTTAGTGATCCTAAAAAAGCACATTTCATGAAGCTGATCACATTATATAAAAACAATTTTCCTTTGACATAGTCTTTCCAAATGACCATAGAAAATTTGTCGTCCTGTTGCCTGGTTGTTGTTCCAGCAGTTCACACAATTGATTCTGTCCCATTATATGTTCCTGCTCCTCAGGGCCGAGGGAGCCCTTTGAAGAAAGGGCGCTACAGCAATAGTTGGTAAATCAAAAGGAATAAGATAAAAAGGTTTTTTTACAAAAAAAAAAAAGGGCAAAGGCAGGGACCTTATTTGATGTGCGTGTTATCTGTGTATGTGTGGGGGAAGTTGGTTTTTTTTATTGGAGTGGGATATGAAATTGTACAGTTTGCGTGTGAATGTGTGGGAACGCTGGTTGTTTTATGTGTTGAAAGCCAATGTAGGTTGGTAAAGGTGGATTTCGAGGTGAGCACTTTGCTGGATTGTCAGTGTGAAAATGTAAGTGGAATATGCAACAAATGGAGGGCTGTAAGAGTTGAGAGTGGGCAGTTTAAAGCAGGTAGACAGGAAGGTTGCTTTTAGAAACGTGTGTGAAGGGCTTCTATGTCGAGTCTTTCAGTTAATTCATAGCATCAATTCTGCACTTAAATCAAACGGTCTCCGGGGTTCTGCGATGAATTGGATTTATTTAAAGAGGTTTTTCTGATTGATGTGGAATAAAAGCCTTTTTACTCAAGTTGACCAAGAACCAATCAAGATGGCAAAGGGAAAAAAGGTGCAGTATTTCATGCCATTTAGAAACTCCTGCTCTGTTAAGTGAAGTGCTATTGTGCGCAGTAGGGTTAATTTAATACATTCAAAACAAACGCATACACATGAATTTAAATGAGCTGTTTATAGAAGGAATGGATGACTGCTGTGTGGTACACCACAATGGTCACTGCATGTGTTTCTGTGTTTAGCTTATTGTTCAGGGAAAAAAAGTCTCTTTGAACTTTGCATTAATTGTATTATTTTATCAAGAAACCAAGAGCTCCAGAGGCTTTGAGGAAAAGAAAAACCCTCCTGATATTAATTTTCTCTCATGCTGGTAAAACAAAATGCTCAGATTTCAGTGCTGGGGTGGAGAGTTTCCAACACAGGAACCTGTTTTTAGCTAACTTCAGTTCTACTCAAACAAGTAAAAGTGACTTTTTTGCTTCAACTTCTCACAGGAAGTAAATCTTTACTTCATAATATAGCGTCTTTATACTATTGACATTGTTAAACTTTGGATTGGTTCCCTATAAGCCTCACTTTCCCTATACTGTCTGCTGCTGAAAACATTTCAAGGGGGAAACAATGTCAAGCAAAACAGTAAAGGGACAGGAACTTTGTTTTTCCCAGAAGGAAAGGGTCCAGTGGATGTCCTGCCCCAATCAGGCTGACCGCCACCCCAACCCCAGTTAGCCCACCGCTGCAGCATGTGTAGTAGGCCCTGGGCTGCTCAGAGAAATAGGACATGGTAAACAGCAGTGTGACTGTGACAGCAGTGTTTGCAGTGTGCACCATAAGTGGAAGCACAGTCAAACATACCTCCCTTCAGTGATCCAAACCAGAACACAAACATTGGTTCATGGCAGTTGTAAAACTGAGAAGATTATGTTACTGCACTGACTTTGTCAAATCTTCCAAAAATCAAGAGTGAATAGTTTTCTGTGCTAAAGGAACAACAACAGCACAAACACAAGCACGAGTAACCCACATTAAAGGTGGTTCCATATAATTTTGAGACCGCCCCCTGGTGATAGTACACAGCAGCAACATTTAGACGATGCTGCAAAACTCTGCATAACGTCAGCGCACAACATTAACATTAAATGGTTGGAACAATATCGTTACTCCTGGTGATTTAAGCTCATTACTTGGACATCTTTAGAAGGAAAAACTGCGCTGTATGCCGTAGGGGTTTCATTTTCCATTCAGGATAACAATGATAATCTTGTTTTCTTTCACAGTAGGGAACACATTTTGAAGTGGAGAAAGTCTTAAAAAAAATCATGAATTGAACGTGCTTATGTGTGTGGAGATGCTCTAGGAAAAAATCACAGAACAAAAAGACATTCAGTAAAGATTTATAAAGGTTCAAGAGCAACATTAACCTATTTCCACTAGATCAACAAGTAACAAAATCCTGCTGATATAAAAGTCTAATGAGAGATCCACAGAAAGCCAGAGATAAATTTAACCTTTGTTTTTTTCACTCCAGGTAAGATGTGGCGACAGCGGTCGGTGGTTCAGGCTTCTCAGGGCGACGGCCGACCGTGCCCTTCTCAGATGGAGCAGTGGAAACCCTGTCCTGTCCGACCCTGCTACCGCTGGCAGTACAGCCCCTGGTCTGAGTGTCGGGTAGAGGTATGTCAATACATATAAAAGTTATACCATAATCCAGGTACATTAAACATTAATAATTGTATCGACCTCTGTCAGCTACAAGAAATGGAGCTCAGGCACAGCTGAGATCAATACTCTAAAACAGTTTGAGCCAGAAGGTGGATTTCAGGAGGGTGAAGTCTAAGAACCTGATAAAAAATAATAGAGTCTTTAGTATTGATGAACAAGCTCATCATTTCCCAACTCATACGGTTATTTTGAGAGATAGACAGTAAAAAAAAATCAATCTAATGCATTTTTAATGCTGATGCATTACTGTAAACCAATACCTTTGCCAAGAAATTTGGCAGCCTGTACACTCAACTTTGCATCGTGTGGCACCGGGTCAGATTATTAAAAGCATCCAGTGCAATACTTTATGACATAAAGCAAAACTTTTCAAGAGTAAATGTGGTTTTATGGGGACACACAGAGACAGGTAATGTCATCTGTTACTAACATCCTTTGCTGCCCCTCACTTAAGATGATCAAAAAGGAAGTGCTCATAACCTCTGCCTTCCTCGGCTGAGTGAGAGTGAGAGGCAGAGACAGTCGACATTTTATTAAATGCACTCTGCATTCACTTCAGAAAAAGGCAAACCATCCTGTGGGTGGTAACCTCTTATCAAACTCAGGACCCAGCCTGGAGGACTCCCAAATGATATTAGCTAACTAAGCAAATGCAAATATTAGTAGAAAATGTATCAGACAGAAAATGATCCTGTGAGATATTTTGTTCTTTCATGAACAAATATAAAGAACAATTTAACTCCCACACAGGAAAGAGACTGAAAATATATAGGGAAGCTTATCTTCCTTATACTTTTATCTATTAAAATCCCTTTTAATAGATCTCTATCTCTACTCGTAAAACAAAACAGGACAGTAACAATTCTTCATTTAATCCACCAGGATTTTTTCTCCATCCCTTCCACTCTTTAGTGTCCCAATAACTTCAAAACAAGAACAGCAGACACTCTACTGCCCGTCTGCCAATAGAAGGTTATTTCCAATACTGCTTTTGTTTTCAACGCCCTACCAGTCTTACCCACATAATAAAATCCACAAGGGCACTTTAACAAGTGGTCTACATGTGCAGTCCTGCATGAGATGCTATCCCTGACCTTAATTTTCTGCCTGTATCCGAGTGTGGAAAATGGTCCCCTTTAATCATTTGTTACAGTTCACACAATTTCCAGAATGACAGCTTAAAAAGTAGAGGTTTAACTCATCCATGTTTGTATTTGTGCTCTCTTTTGTTTCTGTAAAAATACAAACCGCTGTACATATTGCAAATATATAGAACATATTCTGTTCTAAGCAACAATGCGTTTCCAGGTCAGGTATGCTGCCTTGCTGAGAAGCTGGAGGTGTGCAGCTTAATGCCTGCAGCTTTTCATCCTACAGCTCAGCTCAGTAATGCTTTTTCCTCTTCTCTTAAAATGTCTGAGACGCATAAACACTTTTTGTATTTGTTTGACTTTAGTTGATCTTTCCATCAATTCAAATGGCAGAAGTACTAGGTTACTAGGTTTATTGGTGGCTTCTGTGCAGCCACCCTTCCTGTCTGCACAGAAGGGTGGCTGTTACAAATGTGCAGATTATTTTACACTTGGTTGTCTTCTAATGTGATTGAAAATATTGCCCCACCTCTTGTTTTAAATGCTCCAAAGTGTTTTTTACCAGTTTTGTTTGTGATTATTATTTTTTTAATTAGATTGCTGCAGGTTTCCCTCACTGTGTTAACTCATCACCTTCTGTCTTCTTCTGTGGTGTTTACGTCCTGTCAGAATGTGGTTTGTGGACACGGCATGCGCTTCAGGAACCTGTCCTGCTTCGTGTCGGACGGCTCCAGCGATGGCGAGGGCAGCCTGGTGGACGAGGAGCTGTGCAGCAGCCTGGAGGTGGCTGTCGATGGAGACAAGCAGATCAGACTGAAAGAGAGCTGTGTCCTCCCATGTCCAGGTAATAATGCTGACTTCAAGGTTTCAGTGGTAATTATTTGTTGTTTGGGCTGCATGAGCAACCTTGGAAAGTCCAAACACTGAATAGAAGCAATTCGATGCACAGTCCACTGTTATTTAAAAAAAAGTTCTCTAATGAAAAAAATTAAATCAATTATGACTTTACTCTTACTTTACTTTCATTTTCTTTAATATTCTGTGAATGAAATAGCTCCTCCAAATCAGCTTTTTGCCGCACAAAGTAATAGTAAGCTATGGCAGCAATATGCTGGATACTGTTAACCTCAGTCTCTGTCAGTAAAACTGATCAGGCATGAAGTACCCACAAGGAGTCTATAGACTTTATGTAAAAGAGCCCCTTGATTTTTGGGTTTATTTTTTATTAGCATTTAGATGGTTGCTAGGTTGTTCTTTTGGATCCAGGAGTAATCAACTTTAAACCAGACGGTTATCAGTGCTAATTAGTGCTAACCGAGTAATAAAACAGCAATTTCACTAACCAGAAATGGAGCACAAATTCTTGGAAGGGCTATACCGCACAGCAATCTGCAATATTTTTCAGATAGTTTCATTAAAATAACTCCCAAAAGCACTAACACCGCAAACAGGAGGTCCAGTTCAATGACTGGAATTAGTCTAGCTGTGAGACCAAGCAGACAGCAATAACATCTGTCGGTTAGAGGCCAAACTTTACCTGGATGGTTGATATGAAGGGGTGTGCTATGCTGTGAACATGTTAATTTCATATCTGTGAAATTGGGCATTTTGACATAGGAGCCTACGGGGACTCTACACTTTTTGCGTCAGCCTCAAGTGGCCACCAGAGGAGCTGCAGTTTTCAGCACTTAAACCCCAGATGCTGCTAGCAGGAGACAGAGGTCGTGTCCAAATTCATGGGCTGCATCCTCCTGGGGACCCGGCCTTTGCGGTCTACGTGGGCCGGGTCCTCAGGAGGTCGGGTAGGCCGGAAGTAAACGGCTATAGAATTGGATGGTCTAGCCTTGTCGATCTACTCCCGCCCTTAATTCAGAGTATTTCCGGTTGTCAGCGCCACGGCACGAAAATCGAAAATGGACCCCGAAATCTTTCTCTGTTTTTTGTGTTCAGCTGGTGGGGTGACAGACGTCACCGAAAACGTCGAAGCACTTTTGCAAATATGTCATATCTTGACAAACCGAGCAGATATTTGAAGTTTACACACCCACATTCTCGCCTGAAAATATGTTTAAAGTTTATTTTGTGGCCCAGAAAGATTAATAAGAGTAACTTTAAAACTTAGTAGCGGCCGCCATTGCCGGAAACTGGAGCTTGGCTGGGCCGCGCTATGAATTCTGGGATATGGTGGGCCAAGAAGGACACACCCGACCTATCCTTCAAATTCGGGGAAAAGGAGGACACATTTGTCGGCTACATTCGGAGGAGTCTACGAATTTGGACAGCCTTCGGCACGTCGCTGTGACGTAATCGGTCTACAAATGCGGCCTCAGGAGGATGCAGCCCATGAATTTGGACACGACCAGAGTTAGAAATAGCAATAGTTGCTAACATCAACATCACTTGAGTACTTGGATCGGTTGTCGTGCGCTGAAGATGCTGATACAGATGTGTCGGTTAATCTAGCGTTCAGGTAAATACGTGCTCATACATCATCACATCTGTAGAAGGTGTTTGAGACTAGTGTTTACTAATTATCTGTCTATTAAAGCAGTGATTTTAGGCTTTAATCCACAGAGCAGTTTTCTATGCAAATCCTATGAAGCTCAATGTGATCAATGCTCATAGCTCCGAGTGTAAAAACACCCTCAGCGTTCAACTTTTACAATTTATGTAATGTCACTTCTTCCTCACAAACCAATCAGAGTCAAGAAGGGGTGGGAATTATGACATCAGCATGGAGGAGGAGGAGCTGTGTTTGTAAGACGGTGCACAGAGTGTTTAAAAGTGGCGCATGTGGACACTGAAACTGTTTTGTGCCGCTGCTCTCAGCTTCAACAAGTCACTCTCCATACACAGCACAGTCGACACTTCTCAGCAGTCTGGTGTATACTACAGGGAAGCCATTATGAGCACTTAAATACACATTAAAACAAGCTTTGTTGTAACGTTTAAAAGCCAGTTTGGCAGTTGTTATTTGAGGTGCTGAAAGTTGGTCTTTTGCGTGTGCGTTTGGTCTCAGCATTACCTCGAAACTCTAACAGAGTTCACCATCTATCATGACCTCTAAAATGAGAAGCAGCAGCAAAGCTCAAGGCAGAATAAATGGACTACATTATGACCAAAGCTTTGTCTAACTGTGCTTTTTTATGGAAGTTTCATTTACTTTTGGGTTCTCTATTTCATCGCCTGTATCAGCTTAGACAGCACTCTTGTCTTCTCTGCTTTTTCAAATCATGACAGCTCTACTCTGCATACGTGTGGGTTTCGATTCGCTTCATAGTTTCTATCATTTTCTCCAATTTCACAAGGTGTCTATCTCAAGCTGTAAGTCACAGCTGCTTCTTTTCACCTCTCGCAGCACACGAGAAGAGTGAAACACGCTGAGGTTATCGTTAGAACAACAGTCAAAGGGCGATCGCTCACAGTCCTCCCCAGAGCAAAGCCCTGCTAGTGTGTTGAAGTGTCCGGCCAAGCCAGAGGCACAGCCGTCAGGAACTGTTTCATGTGGAACGCACAAAATATTTGGACCACCTGCTCTTCCGGTGAAATAGACAGAGAGGAGAATCTAAATGAAAGCTGTGACCCCTACAATTCAATTGATTCCATTTGTACAGCAAAGAAACCTAGAAGCAAAAATGATTCGAACACACTCACACATACAGTGAGAGAGATAAAATAATAGTAAAAAAAAAAAAAAGGTGCAATCAATAATCTGTGTGGGCGAGATAACAAAAAATCCTCAGGGCTTGAAATAAAAAGACAAGATGGCAAGCCAAGATACGACTGCACTGAATAACAATCTGCTGTACGGAGACGTGTAGATTTTATTCATTTATTCACCTCACATATGAATGGAGATGCTGATTAAGAGGAGAATAGATTGAAGATGTATTTGTGTTTTGATTGTAAGAAAGGCTTGGGTGAAACGTGGTGCAGCAGCAGAGGCATGAGCCAGCTAAAATGGTGCATCTCATACACAAAGGCTGCTCGAATTGATTCATGTACGCCGTTTAAAATTGTTAAATAAGTCCAGAAAATAAAAGGTCAGGAAAATTCAACCCATGAGTAAAAAGAGAGAAACAAATAAGGCCTTTATTGAGGCATTAAGGGCAACACGAGCTTCACTAGTGGGCTCAAATCTCCTGCTCCAACTGACAAAAGTGGCTTTGTACACACTTAAATACACAGTAGATACAGGGTGGGGCATTGTGAGAGAACAGATCTGAGGCAAAAAGCATCCTCTTGATAAAGACGAATGCCTTCTTAGGCAGCCTGTTCATTAGCCGACAAAAATGGAAAGATCAAGTTTAACGGGAAATAGCTGGAAATCCGCAATTACTCTTGGTGGTTAAAGCGGGTGCCTGGAAACGCTTGACGATCGAACTGCCCTTTTGGTCTGAAATTTAATTTAAAGTGGCATTAAAAAGTCTTACATTGCTTGCTTATACCTGTAGACACCCTGATTACTTGAAGGCAGCACTCTGGATGATAAATAAATGAGTTTGCCAAGTGTATTGTTATCCCTGATTATGTTGGTTGGAGCTGTAAACTTAGCTAAATACAATAAAGAGCAGGAGAGAGGAACTAATCATACCATGACCTCCATTGCATCCAGGACCAACAGGCCTTTTTTAATATAACCTCTGATCTCACAATGGACTTAGCTAAATAATGATTTGGAAGTGACAAGTGGCTCCTATTTAAGGCCATGAGCTAATTAGATGCACACGGCAAAGAGTTCGAAGTGCAGTACTGTTTATTCTTACTCCTTATTCTGTCAAGGTTTTAGTTCAGGAAAGAATTCAAAATGGCAAACCCCACTAAATCCTTCCAATGTAACTCGAGCATGTGAAAGAGTCCAAAGCTGTTTTCAAAGATGGCTTACAGTTTAGCTTATAAACATTAGACCACACTCATGTGTTGTGCTCATTTGCACGTATTGTTCAGGATTTTGAAGCCTTGTGTAATATTTACCATAGAAACTGTAGATTTGGCTTTTGTGATTATACCTGTATTCATAATCACTTTATTTTAACATGAAAAATGTAT